TCCTGACTGATAACAGATGATGCCCTTGACTAACTGTGCTAGTATCCCCTTATGGATGACTGCCAATTTTGATTAAGGACCGGTGCTGTTAGACTTCAGACATAGCCGTTTGGGTTGGATAAAACATATGTTTTCCATGTAGGCTGCTGGCATGTGCTGCGGGTGAGGCATTGATGTAGCATGGTGCCGTATATCAACATGCCCACTCTTGACTGATCCCGGCCAGCAAAGATGACAAGTTTGTGTCTATGTTAAGAGGCAATACAAGTACGATGAGACAGTAAGTTCTGAATGATACACCAATCCGTAAAAAGGCAAAGAAGAGCAGTGATGCTGTGAACAACCGAATAGGCACAAGAGTGAGTGTGTACTAAGACAGCAAGAGACACACCCTGTTGCAATCCATGAGATGGGTGCTTGTCCTACATGCAAAATGGCTTGGTAGCAGCATGATAGTGCACTATATCAATGTGCTCCAAAGAGTAGCATTGGAGCAGATAACTGTATTCTAGGTGAGTTGGAAATGTGCCGTGATAATTTTGAGAGGTTGGTACGTGTCCAATTGATGGGGTGGGATTTGGGGGGGGTAGATGCAGATGGGCACTGCCCACGGAGTATACCTTAATATGTTGGGAACTGCTGGCAAGGGAGTGGCCAGAGAAGCAAGGAATGAGCTGGGGCCACCAGGCACCCACTCTGACTTTGCTATCAGAAATTGTTGCCATCTACTTTTACTCTGCTACGTGGAGGGGTGAATAAGTAACAATAAGGTGCTAATACACGCAAATGGGTCTCTCACCACTGACTACTGAGATTCCCATCTTGCTGTTCGAAATGTAGGTGGAACATTAGACTTTTATTGCTTGGCATTTCAAATCTCACTTTTCCAATCTCACCATATTTTCCCAACTAACATGTTATTGCCCACATTGTTCTGGAGTTGGGAAGATTTAGCTCAGCATGCATTATTGACAGAATTGGGAAATGGAAAGCAATCTATAAATGTTACCTATATTAAATTTCCAGTTTTCCTCAATGGAACTACCTACGCCTTTGGGAAGTCGAAATCGTAAAAGCTTTTTATGAACTTGAAAGAGACAGCAGCAGTACTCTTAATAGTTTTGGAAGATATACTCTGACAAGATAAACAAATAACTGTAGATGTATTATAAAAATTGCTGGCACCATTTCTTGGAATCTTTTTCCATTTCTCAATAAAGACCCTTGACTTAGGCTTGAGGCTTCTTTATGTCTAAATTTTGATACTTGTTAGGAACTGTCAGTATAGTTCACTGTTTCAGCAGTTCCATCTCTCAGCCTCTTTTCTAGTTCTTCCAAAAAGTCACTTTTAATGTTTGGTATTGTGTAAAATTCTTAAAGCTTATTACTGTGTTGATATGTAGTTGTGAAATTGCATTCTAGGGAGAATTAGCTTTGTTTTCTGCAAAGCATGTTGTTAGCTTAGTGACACTGCTTGGATTAGAAGTGAATGTGAAATTAGCTTAGTGGATGAAATTAGCATTGAAAATATAAAGGCATCTTTTATAACTAAATCTCACAATTCTGGTGTGCTGATGCAGTTATTTGAGTAACGTTGAGTAATAAAAGTAATAAAGAAATAATAAAAATTGAATTTTGGAGTGACGTTTTGCAGCCACAGAATCTGGTGACAACATGCAAGTAACATGCTTGCAGCAATTCCCTACAATCAAGCCTGTGCAAAGTAGCCTCTCTTCACTATTGAGAAGAGGTGTGTCCAATTTTCTGGTTTCCACAGACATTTTAGATGAATATTGCATTGCCACAAGAGTCAATTATAAGATTTGATTGTATTTATTAACTTGCATATATTTGAATCTGTGAATACCAATGCACTGGGATGGATTGATTAGGATTATTTACCAGTGAGGTCATTGTATAAGGAGCAACAATGTACAAATCCCTCCACTTTCAAAATTCAAATCAGTGAACACCAAATATAATCACAAATAAAATGTAATTGCCTGTTGTGTGCAAGACTTCCAAAACACACAGACTGACCTTTGACCTAGAGAACGACTTCAAATAGGAAATAAGTTGACTGCTTTGTGTCAGTAACTAATTAATTGTTGCGTTGGCCCAGATCTTTCCATCTCTGGATCATCAGAGACTGGACATACTCCCTTGTGGGAATATACCTTGACAGCACTTGATGTCTATATTTTTAAAGGCAGCCTGTTGTTCAGATTCAGTATTGCTTGCCAACCTTTGATTCCACTTCATCTGAGTCAGCTTCATTTATAACCCACTTTTGCCACTTAATTACTTTTGCACTGGATTGCTCCTTGTCATTTTCTATCGTCAAACTAAACCTTCTGATACAATGATGGCTGTTCCCTAAATGCTCCTTGACTTCCACTTGTTCCACTTGGGTCACCTTATTTCAAGACTCAATGTCTCCAGTCCAACCAGAAAGAAAACATACTCATACAGAAAATTCTCTTGAACATCCTATAGGAACTTTTGTCCCTCTTTGTGCTTTACATTACTTCTGTTTCAGTCCATAGTCAGATAATTAGAGTCCCACATTATAACTATTTGATAATTCTTGCACGTCTGTAATTTTTTTTTGCATATTTCTCTTCATCTTTCCCATGTATTGGTGGCTTGTAGCAATGTACCGAATTTTTTTCGTTCATAAGCTGTAGGCAAATAACATTCCCCCCACCCTCCCTGGGATATTTTCTCTCTCCAACACTCCTATTTTCTTCTTAATCAATACTGCCACCCTATTTTATTTTCCTTATTTTTCCTGAGTACCTTGTATGTGAGAATGTAGGATAATTTCCTGTTTACTTTGCCAATTCTGACTCTGTGACTGCATCCATCATGCTGTCTACATGGGTTGATATTAATGTGGATCCCAATCACTATTTTTCCCATCTAGATGGTCTGCATCCTTAATCCTGGCAGCAGGAAAATGACAAACCCTACAGGCATCACATCTGTGGCTGTAGATCTGTTCTCTAACTATAGAATTCCTTATCACTATTGCTTTCTCAATCTTCTTTATGCCCCTCTATAGTGTTGTGGAATTGACTATGGCTACAGTCTCCAGAGAAACTGTCATCCTTGTCAGTACTCAGACTGCTGACTTGCTATGAAGTGACATTGATAGTGGGTGTGAAACTGTATTACAAAGAGAAATCTGCTTTTCTGCCAGATTCAGATTATATGAGTGTCACATATGACAAATGAGTACTTTACTTGTCATGCAAGTTTATTTCTTAGGACCTAGATGAATGAGCAAGTTATTGTTTAAAATTACTTGCTTCGCAATGCCAAGCATTTAAAATAGACAGTTCCTTCATTCCTGATTCAGTTTGGCTTCATGTACCTGTTGACACTAATTACTATTCAGTCAATACAATGTAGTTTCTTCTGTATCACATCTTACAGTGGATCTGTGTTCAAAAGCCACTGACATAGCTGTTCTTTTTCCTCTTTGACTGTCTCCATTTAGGAAAGACGTGAATCTTCCAGCATCATTATAAATTCTAGTGCCATCTCTGTTTGATTGATTGAAGCTAGAAGATAGCCAACAATTTGGTCCCTGAGGCATGTGAGGTCAATTGTATATTAGCACCTTAGCAGCAAGAATTGAAGATCTAAGTTGAGACTGCAGGAGGTTGCAACCTAGTCACATTCCACACTTAGAAATCATTAACTTTATTGAGGTTGCCAAACAGCTGAGATTTAAACAATTTATATTGAGCACTTTTGTTTCATTTCCATTCAGTGTGACAATCTTTAATCCTTTTCCTTAAAATACTTTAGTCTACTTGAGTCAATTTGAGGAATGTTTGCTGACAGAGTTGCCTTACACTGAATGAATATTCTTCAACTCTCGTAATTTATTATTTTAATCAGATGCAAACTATTGTCAATATTTAAAATGTTATCCCAGTTTTTGGATTGTTCTTAACATTATATCCAGAAAACCCACTGCTTTTCACATTCTTAATAAAATTATTTGTTATATTCTCTAACTCCTAAAATCTAGTCTGTAGGGCATAAAACAAAACTAGCACTGCTGCCTTCACAATAAGTGAGAATAAAGCAACTTGAGATAGAAACAATTGAAATATCCATACACTCTGAATAATACATGTAAGAAAAAGTTGCATTGTGGTTATTCATGATACGTAACAAGCCAAAGAAAATATGTAGAGAGATAGTAGGAACTGCAGATGCTGGAAAATCTGAGATAACAAGATGTAGAGCTGGATGAACACAGCAGGCCAAGCAGCATCTTAGGAGCAGGAAGGCTGACGTTTCGGGCCTAGACCCTTCATCTGTGTTCATCCAGCTCTACACCTTGTTATCAAAGAAAATATGTAGATTATTTATCGCGTGTAACAGTAAATAGTGACATTGAGATTCATTTTCAGACTCTCTGATATTCATGGAATTGAATTTAGAATTCTTCAACCAAAGCACAATCAGTGGCTATTCAGCACTGGAAGACTCCCCACCAGGGGCCACAACCATTCTGAGGTGGAAATATATTGCTGTTCCTTCAGTGTCACTGTGTCAAAATGCTGGAGTTTCCTTTGTAATGGCATTCTGAGTCTACTACAACAAATAGACTGCAGTGTTTCATGAAAGCAGCTCACCTTCTCAACGGCAACTAAGGACAGGCAATAAATGCAGGCTTAGCCTGCGACCCCTACATCTTAGGAATGAATTTTTAGAAAAGATCATTAAACATTGAAACTTTTAGATAGCAATTTAGAGCTGACCAGAATTTGAATGAATTGTAAATCGTGCCTCAATCCTGGCTATGTTCTGTTTTTATATTAACACTCGGAACATTTGGTTGTAATTTTTTTAGAAGTTCCAATACGCTTCAAAACGTCATCCTTTACCTTTAACCATTTTGTCATAAAATGTATTGTTTTTAGCTGCTCAAATCGGTTTCGTACATCATAATGTTCCACGTAACTGTGTTTTTGCTTTAGAACCTAAAACGAACCAAGCAATGGAAAGGCATGTTTGCAGAATCTGGCCACTCTCCTCACCAGACACTGTATACTATATGCAGATAAATTGGGAGAAGGACCTGGGAAGTGGTTTTACAGTGACTCTCTGCAATGGAGAACAAGCTTGGAGTGGAAGAGGTATTTATGCATTGTAATTTTTTGTTTGTTTCCTCATAGGAATCAAATTTATACTTTCCTGTTTAGGTTTGCTACTTGATGTTTAGTGTCTGTAAGCCTGATGTATGATCTCTCGTATGACAACCTCTTTATAGAGGAACATGAATATGCAAGCTACTATTTCTATATTTAGCCTGTGAAAGTACATTTTGGGAGGGCAATTTGATGAAATGCTCTCATGGGTAGTGTGATTAGATTTTCAAAAGGCAAAAGCAGAGCACAATGAAAGCCATGAGGAAGGTGGGGATCTGTGATAATTGATGTGATGGGTAACCAGTGGCAGGACTGGAGAAGTTGCATTTTAAGTTGGGACTTCATGTGATAACATCAACCAGAATAGGTCCAATCTGAGTTGGCAATCTATTTCATAGATTGCTTAAAAGGCCTTATCAGCAATTAGCTGTCAGCGTTAAAAACATAGTGGCAACTTCCTCAACACATTGAGGAGTAGTGGTGGAGAGGGATACCAGCACACTTTGCTCAATAGAATACTATGTGACGTGTGTTTACAAAAAGAAGGACAAAATTTAATAGAGGTTTTCTCCAGAGGCTCAGTTTCCATTTGACAAAATGGAAAAAGGTGAAACTGGGATACTGAAGCCATTTTTAAAGAAATTGTCAGGACACTGGTACATTGAATGAAAATCTGGGACATCTGGTCACTGTACTTATGGATCTTTTACATGTGGAAATGCAGACAGCGAAAATGTTGACTTTGCTTCGCAAATGAAAATCATGTTTTTGAGATAATGCAAAGTACCTGAATAATGATTGTGACTTTCTCTAGAAGTTATTTAATTTTGATGATAGAAGAATTCAAAATTTAATCAAATGATTGTTTTATTTACAGTGTGGCCATGCTTGTTTAGTGAACAAATACTATTTGCATGTTAAATTCAATGTTTGAATGCTATTTGACTGAATGCAGTGGTTTAGTGCTTATGTAACATGCTTAGGTGAAAACTAAATTTCGAATGAATTTCAAGTATGTCATCTTTGGTGTGCCAGAAATCCAAGGATCCCACAGGAGTGAACAGACTTATGTGGCATTCTGTAACTGATGCTGTTGTTTTCTCTTAATCATAAAATTTTCTGTAAAGAAACATTCTCCCCTTTCTGCAAAATAAAAAGTCGGAAGGAAACCATTTTAAAACGTTTCAGAAGAATGGAGAAGTGGACGTGTCAGACGTGCTGTTTTAGATTTCCTTCTAGAAAACACAAGCTAGGGCTTTCAGCTCCTACTTGATGTGTAGGTAGATTTTCTTTGGCAATGTTAAGGCAATAAAGACAATGTGCGGGCAATAAGAAGAATCCTGCAGGTTCTGATACTGGAGTGCCATTCCCTCTTTGCTTTTTACCCAAATGATGTGTAACACTTCGGGAGTAATGATAAATTTATCTTGTGGTGGAATAGGTGTGCTGTGTAAAATAGAGGTCTGGAATAACTAAGCAAAACCCAATTTTTTTTTTGCATTGGTGCTAATGTTACCCCGTTACAACTTCCACGCTGTTGCCAAGTCAGAGAAACTTATTTTAAAAGTAAATTGTGTTCCATAGTCAATTCTGTGTCATTCTATCAATGAATCTTATGTACTTGAACTTCCTTGTGTTTGATTAAAGTAGGTCCAATTTGCTAAAAATAACCTAGAATTTATTTTGTGATGTTAAGATTTTAAAAAAAACCTGACTCTGTTTTACAGTATTTAATTTGGCAACAAATAGCTCACCTTAATTTAATATCAGAAACTGATGCATTTCGAAACTTTGTAAATAAGGAAATCACATTTTGCTGATTGAAGTTATGCAGAGGCTGCAATTCATTGGAACTCATGGGAAACCGATCTTTATGATTTGAAATTATTGAAGTCTGAATTATAGTTAAACTGCAAATACGTGAATGCATGGAGTATAATAAGTAAGATTGGTGAGTTCCAGGTACAGATTGTCTTGTGTGATTATGGCGTTGTTGCTCAAGTAAGGATAGAACTTATCCTTATTATTAAATAATCCAGGGATACAAGGTGTTCAGAAACGATAGGACAGAAAAGAGGAAAGTTGGTGATATTGGTTAAGGATCGCGTTGCAATGCTGGGGAAAGAGACAGCTCCGGGGGTGCAAGGACAGAATCAATTTGGCTGGACCCAAACAAAGAAAGGGATCCATGTAGTCTACTGCGAAGGATGTAGAGAACCAAATTTGCAGGGAAATTGTAGAGGGGTGCAAGTGTTCTCAAGTAGTTATAATGGGGGATTTGAATATCCTGTACATGGACAGGAATAATGGTAATGTAAAAGGCAGAGAGGGCCAAGTGTTCCAATGTACTAATGACCCAGATGTTGTGTGCAGGGGGAAAGTTTCAATGTTTATGGGCGATACAAAATTTGGGAACATTGTGAACTCTGAGAACCCAGTCTGGAACTTCAAAAGAACATCGACAAGTTAGTGAAGTGGGCAGATAGATGGCTGATAAAGTTTAACGCGGAGAAGTGTGAGGTGATTCATTTTGGTGGGAGAACATGAAAACACAAGAAAAAATAAAGCAGGTACAGGTGCTAAGGGACCGCAATGTGTGTGTATATAAGTCTTTCAAGCTGACAGGACAAGTGGAGAGAACAGTTAATGAAGTATAGAGTACCTTGGACTTTATTAATAAAAGCCCGCAGCGCTAGATCAATGAGGTGATGTTGAACTTGAATAAGTCACTTGTTCGACCTCAGCTGGAGCATGGTGTGCACTCCTGGGTGCCACACTATACGAAGGATGGGACTATGTTGGAGTGTGTGCTGAAGAAGTCCACAAGAATGGTTGTGGGAGTGGGAAACTTCCATTGTGAAGGTAGGCTGGAGAAATTTGGTCTGTTTTATTGATCAGAGAATACGCAAGGAAGATTTGATGGAACTTGGAACTTGTAAAAATTACAATAGGTCTGAATGGAATGGGGAGGGAGAAATTCTTGCTGGATGGAGGATGGAGAATGAAGAATGAGAAGTCCCAAATTTAAAGTGTTCTGCAAGAGAAGCAAAGATGCTGCAAGCAAAAGCTTTTTCATGCAGGGAGTCTGAAATGCACTGACTGGAAGTATGGCGGAGGAGAGCCAATCAAGGCATTCAACAGGGCATTAGCTGATTACTCAAATAGAAACAAATTACAGGGATATGGGTAAAGGCATGAGATTGGCAGCAAGTCATAATGCTCATTTGGAGAACTGGTTACAATGGCCACCTCATGCACTGTTCTGTGGTTTATTCCATGTATGTTGAATGTGGACCTTTTTCCAAAATAGGTGCTTGTGGACATGGCAATTTAATTTGTAGCATGAATAAAAATGCAGCACACCAGTGTAAGTTATCAGGAATGAGCTCTTTCCGTTTAGAATCCTTTTCTCAGCATAAGCTAAAGAATGAAATTGCTAGTTTTCCCAAGCTATAACTGAATACCGTTGGCTGACTTACATTGGCTCTAAGCCTGCCAAGGTATTGACTTTAAAATTCTAATACTTATTTCCAAATTCCTTGTGGTCTCACCACTCCCTGTGTCTGAACTTCTTCCAGTCATCCAAAACCGTTGTGTTCCTTCTAATCCCTAGATTTGGGGAAGGTTCTGTTTGATTGGAAAGGTGGTAAATGTAACTCCTTCATTTAAAATGAGAGGAGGAGTGAAAGCAAGAAGCTACAGGCCAATTAGTGTAATGTCTGTCATAGGGAAAAAAGTAAGAAGCAATTGTTAAAGACCTTATAGCAAGGCACTTTGAAAGATTCATTGTGGAAAGATGGAAAACACAAATGGTGAAGGTACTGTATGCCTGGGGTGTCTGAATTTGTGTTCCACAAGAGATCTTTTGCTTTCTAGTTCAAATTAAACACTTCACAATTGATATACTTTTTTTCATAGAAAAGGAAAGCTAAAACAATATTTGCATTTTTAACAGAATAATGTTCACAGACCTAACTTCCTTTATCATTGACTCTGTCCAGACCCACTTCACAACTGCTGTGACCAACATTTTTTTCTTTCATGGGATGTGGGCTTCACTGACAATGCAAGCATTTGTTGCTCTTTCTCACTTGTCCATTTCAAGAACCAGTTGAGAGTCAACTACATTGCTGTGGGCCTGAATTCACATGTAGATCAAATTAGGTAAAAGAGCCTTTTCGTAGAGTCATAGGGTTTAACATCTTGGAAAGAGACCCTTCATCCCATTTTATCAGTCATCTAACACCTACCCACTTTAGTCCCATTTTCCACCATTTGGCCTGTAGCTTTGAATGATGTGGCACTTCAATGATCGTCTATTTACTTCTTAGAGGTTGTGATGGTTCCACCTCTACTATCTTTTCGGGCACTGAGTTCCAAAAACTCACCATTGGGAACAACCCATAATATCAACAATGTCACATCCCATATGTTAATCAGCGGTCTCAACTCATCTGCCTCCTTGCATTAAAATAAATTCCATCTAAACTTGCCAAACTCCCTTGTGTTTAACATGACTACATATACTCTGCCTATCAGACAGACTTGGCTTTCCTCCTGCGTTTGTCCGTGCATCACCCATTGTTGTACCTCCATTCCCTGTCCCATTCCAGATTAGTTTAAACACTTAAAAACCAGGCAAGCAAAATTTTGGGGTTTAGCTGCCATACCAACTGAGCTCAATCTGGGCCACGCATGCCCAGGCTTTTATTTGGAAGTTCTTCTTCTGCTGTTCACCTCCATGTTTGGTCTGCTGCTGCTGCTCCGACTGGCACTTCTTGGAGTCAGAGTAGACTATAGATTAGAGAAACCTTATTCTTATTTATGTCCGGAGTCCCATTCGGCCCTGTTTCCCAAACTACATCACAGTGATGCTGGTTACTACATACTCTTCCTTCCTAAAGGAAACCAGTGAACCTACTGGAGTTTTATGACAATCGATAGTGGTTTTGTGGTTATCATTACTGAGAGTAGCTTTATGTTAAATTTAATTTTAATCAGTCTGTTTGTTTAGTTATTTACTAAATTCAAGGTGAAATTGCTTACACGTGCAATTTGACAATTCTACTTCCAGTGTCAGAAAATCAAGTAACAATGGAAGCAAAAGAGGCTGAAATGGACAGAGAAAAATATGTTGATGAACTTCGACAAGCACTGACAATGGGTGAAGAAAGGGTGAAAACCTACAGCTTTGACTTTTTTAAGGATAATGACAAGGACGTTTTCCATTTTTTATATGAAAAACTTATGCAAGACATCTCAGTAAGTACAGTTGAATATTTTAGTTCAAGGACAATGGTTTTATTTGTGTAAAAAGATAGGAAAGTCTGATGCTGCTTGGCCTGCTGTGTTCATCCAGCTCTTCACCTTGTTATCTCAGATTCTCCAGCATCTGCAGTTCCTACTATCTCAGTAACTTTGTTAGTTCAATTTTGAAGAAATTTACCTTGTTAACATTACAGTTAATGTGTTGATTAGCTCAGTTGATTGGATGGCAGGCTTATAATGCAGAGTGATGTCAACAGTGTGGGCTCAAGTTCTGCACTGGCTGAGGTTACCATGGAGGACTCTCCTTCTCAACCTCTCCCCTCATCTGATGCAACACTAGTCATGTCTCTCTAATGAGCGAACAACTTTATGGTCTGGTAAGACAATGATGAATTTTACTTTCGTCATTATGTTAACGGATGATTATTTATGAATGCGCTTTTCAAATTTGGAAAATGTGTTGTAAAAGACATTTCTCCTCATCTCCAGAGTTTTACAGATGGGCGCAAATCGGTTGGAGTTGAACGTGTTTGCTTCCGATGTGGACATGTCGAGATATTAAATTCTGTGTTCCAGAATTTAATTTCCTACTTAGTGCATTTAAATTATTGGGAATGTTGTATATTGTTTTCTTTACAACGTGTTAGAAATGGAATATTATTTCTTAAACAATTATGTCTCAATGTCCTATTAATTTTATGTATTCATATTCTAGCCATCATATTCTTTTAATCCCTTAGCTCTCTCCATCTCTACTGTTTTAACCTCTTCAAACATGCTTTCCGTTTCATACTGCACTCATTTATTTTCTCCTGTTTTACATTTGTCTTGGAATAACCTGATATCAGAGATTACGATGGCCTTCATTTTTCAGCAGCAGAGGGAGAGGCGACAGCGAGGACCAGGGGGCTGCCGGGAATATAGTTATTTATCTATTAATTGGTTATTTGAAAGGACCATAGCAGAGAAGTATTAGAAAGTATTTAACTCATAAATTGATATAAAGTAATTAACTAAGTGGAGATGGCTGGGCAGGTGATGTGCTGTAGCAGTATGATGTGGGAGCTGGCTGATCCCATTGTGAACGGCAGTGACCACATCTGCAGCAAGTGTTGGTTGCTGGAAGAACTCCGGCTCAGAGTTGAAGATCTGGAATCTGAGCTTCAAACACTGCGGCACATCTGGGAGGGGGAAAGTTACCTGGACGCTTTGTTTCAGGAGACAGTCACACCTGGTAGATTAAATAATTCAAATTCAGTTAGTGATCAGGGACAACAGGGTGTGACTGCAAGTGAGGCAGGTAGGGGGATCCTGAGTTCAGGAGTGGAGGAGCTTCAGCTTTTGACCTTATCCAACAGGTACGAGATACTTGCTCCCTGTGTGGATGAGGAAAAGGGCTGCGGGGAGGATGAGCCAGCTCACCACGGCACCATGGTGCAGAAGGCCATTCAAGAGGGGGGAGCAAAAAGACAAGTGGTAGTTATAGGGGATTCTATAGTTAGGGGGATAGATAGTATCCTTTGCAAGCCGGATTGGGAGTCCCGCATGGTGTGTTGCCTGCCCGGTGCCAGGGTGCAGGACATCTCTGACTGGTTTGAAAGGATATTGGAGCGGGAGGGGGAGGATCCAGTTGTTGTGGTCCATGTTGGGACTAACAACATAGGCAAGGCTAGGATGGAGGACCTGTTTGGGGATTATCAAGCACTAGGAACGAAATTAAGGAACAGGTCCTCGAGGGTCATAATCTCCGGATTACTGCCCGAGCCACGTGCAAATTGGCTTAGGGACAAGAAAATTAGGGAAGTAAACACGTGGCTAAGGGAGTGGTGTGGAAAAGAGGGGTTCCATTTCATGGGGCATTGGCATCAGTTTTGGAACCGGAGGGATCTGTACTGATGGGATGGTCTCCACCTGAACCGATCTGGAACCAGTGTTCTTGCGAAAAGGATAAATAGGTGGTCACTAGGACTTTAATCTAGTGAGTTGGGGGAAGGGAAAGGGAAAACGACAGGGAGTATGATGGTAAATAAAAAGGTAAGCAGCAGGTTAGCATGTGTGCAGGAGGGTTTAAGTTCAAGGCAGACTATGAAAGAAGCAAAAAGGAAGGATAACTCAGGAGATATTATTAGAGATGCTGGAAATCATGAGGGTAAGAAAGCTAGCATAAAGGCACTTTACCTGAATGCTCGTAGCATTCGTAACAAGGTTGATGAGTTAACGGCACAAATCATCGCGAATGAATATGATTTGGTAGCCATTACGGAGACATGGTTACAGGATGGTCACGACTGGGAGTTAAACATCCAAGGGTACCAGACTATTCGGAAGGACAGACAGGAAGGTAAGGGAGGTGGTGTTGCCCTGATATTCAAGGACGCCGTCAGGGCGGTGATGAGAGATGATATAGGTTCTATGGAGAATGAGGTTGCATCCATTTGGGTGGAAATTAGAAATTCTAAGAGGAAAAAGTCACTGATAGGCATAGTCTATAGGCCACCAAATAATAACGTCACATTGGGGCGGACAATAAACAAAGAAATAACTAATGCCTGTAAAAATGGTACGGCAATTATCATGGGGGATTTTAGTCTACATGTAGATGGGTCGAACCAGCTCGGTCAGGGTAGCCTTGAGGAGGAGTTCGTTGAGTGTATCCGTGATAGTTTTCTTGAACAGTATGTAATAGAACCGACGAGGGAGCAAGCTATCCTAGATCTGGTCCTGTGTAATGAGACAGGAATAATTAATGACCTCATAGTTAGGGATCCTCTTGGAAGGAGTGATCACAGTATGGTTGAATTTAGAATACAGATGGAGAGTGTGAAGATAAAATCCAATACCAGGGTCCTGTGCTTGAACAAGGGGAACTACAATAGAATGAGGGAGGACTTGGCTAAAGTAGACTGGAAACAAAGATTTTATGGTGGGACAGTTAACAAGCAGTGGAGAACTTTCAAAGCAATTTTTCAAAGTGCTCAGCAAAAGTATATTCCAATGAAAAGGGAGGACTGTAAGAAAAGGGGTAATCTGCCATGGGTGTCTAAAGAAATAGGGGAGGCTATCAAATTGAAAGAGAACGCATACAAAGTGGCCAAAAACAGCATGAAACTAGAAGATTGAGAAAACTTTAAAGGTCAACAGAAAGCCACAAAAAGAGCTATAAAGAAAAGTAAGATAGAACATGAGAAAAAACTAGCACAGAATATAAAGACAGATAGCAAAAGTTTCTATAAATATATAAAACGAAAAAGTGTGGCTAAAGTAAACGTTGGCCCTTTAGAGGATGAGAAGAGGAATTTAGTTATGGGATATGATGAAATGGCCGAGGCATTGAACAGGTATTTTGTATTGGTCTTCACAGTGGAGGACACTAATAACATGCCAGTAATTGACAAAGAGACGAAGGTAGGTGAGGATCTGGAAACATCATTATTACGGAAGAGGTAGTGTTAGACAAGCTAATGGAGCTAAGGATTGATAAGTCTCCTGGCCCTGATGGAATGCATCCCAGGGTACTAAAAGAGATGGCGGGAGAAATAGCAGGTGAGCTGGCGGTAATTTTCCAAAATTCGCTGGACTCTGGGGCAGTCCCAGCAGATTGGAAAACAGCAGATGTGACGCCACTGTTTAAAAAGAGAAGTAGACAAAAGATGGGGAATTATAGACCGGTTAGCTTAACCTCTGTAGTGGGGAAGATGCTTGAGTCTATTATCAAGGAAGAAGTAGCAAGGCATCTGGATAGAAATTGTCCCGTTGGACAGACGCAGCATGGGTTCATGAAGGGCAGGTCATGCTTGACAAATCTTTTGGAATTCTATGAAGACATTACGAGCGAGGTGGACATTGGGGCCCCAGTGGATGTGGTGTACCTAGATTTCCAAAAGGCCTTCGACAACGTGCCGCACAAGAGGCTACTGCATAAGATAAGGATGCACGGCATTAAGGGAAAAGTATTAGCATGGATAGAGGATTGGTTGACTAACAGGAAGCAAAGAGTGGGGATAAATGAGTGCTATTCTAGCTGGCAGTCAGTGACTAGTGGTGTGCCTCAGGGATCGGTGTTGGGACCGCAATTATTTACAATTTATATAGATGATTTGGAGTTGGGGAACACGCATAGGGTGTCAAAGTTTGCAGATGACACTAAGACGAGTGGCAGAGCAAAGTGTGCAGAGGACTGTGAAACTTTGCAGAGGAACATAGATACATTGAGTGAGTGGGCAAAGGTCTGGCAGATGGAATACAATGTAAATAAATGTGAAGTCATACATTTTGGTAGGAGTAATAGTAAAAAGGGTTATTACTTGAATGGTAAAAAGTTGCAGCATGCTGCTATGCAGAGGGACCTGGGTGTCCTTGTGCATGAATCACAGAAGGTAGGTCTGCAGGTACAACAAGTAATTAGGAAGGCAAATGGAATTTTGTCCTTCATTGCTAAAGGGATTGAGATTAAAAGCAGAGAGGTTATGTTGCAGCTGTACAAGGTGCTGGTGAGGCCACAACTGGAGTACTGTGTGCAGTTTTGGTCTCCTTACTTGAGAAAGGATGTATTGGCACTGGAGGGAGCGCAAAGGAGATTCACTAGGTTGATTCCGGAGTTGAGGGGGTTGGCTTATGAGGAGAGACTGCGTAGATTGGGATTATATTCATTGGAATTCAGAAGATTGAGGGGGGATCTTATAGAGACATATAAAATTATGAAGGGAATAGATAAGATAGAAGTAGAGAGGATGTTTCCACTGGCAGGTGAAGCTAGGACAAGAGGGCATAGCCTCAAGATTAGAGGGAGCAGATTTAGGACTGAATTGAGAAGGAATTTCTTCACCCAGAGGGTTGTTAATCTATGGAATTCCTTGCCCAGTGAAGTAGTTGACGCTACTTCAGTAAACGTTTTTAAAGAAAAGGTAGATATTTTTTGAACAATAAAGGAATTAAGGGTTACGGTGAGAACGCGGGTAAGTGGATCTGAGTCCACGAAAAGATCAGCCATGATC